ATACATATGTATGTATATCTCTGAGTAAATAAATATAAAAAATCAAATATACATATAAACATGTAAAAATAATAATTTTTTTGTTAAACGGTTAGGATTTCCGTAAAAAAATAACAGTTTGATTAATATGTCAGATATTGTATAAAAGAAAGAGAAAAAGACCTCTTGCGTAGTCTGCGTTTGTTCTAATAAAAATAGCAGGCATGCGACACCAAACACCAACCACGACGCGAAAAGTGAATAGGATAAAAAATTCTATTCCTTCAAACATCGACTTTTATGGATCTTAATATCTACAAAAGAACCCCCGACGCGGACTTTGTTTTAAATTTTGGTCAAATTAATTTAGGAAAGGGCAAGGCAGCTACTAGCAATCTTTTGAAAGTTATTTTCGATAAAAAATTGGATATTTGTTTTGTACAGGAACCTACAGTCAACGACACGTTATCTCTCAACTTGACCGAACGAAGCCTGTTGTAGTTACAGGAGATTTTAATGCGAAAAATTAATAGTCCAATAAATGACAATATAGGAAGAAACATTTTAGAAATTTTTGAAAATAACAATTTATTTGTTACTAGCGCCCAGTCCCGGCTTCGTACGGGTAATAATTGTTATTTTCCTCGTTAGAGAGCTCCGGTAAACGTGTGCGATTGCTGCTAGTTGTAAACTGCCATAGGTACCGCCGCAACCGCTACGTCCGCGTCTGCATTTTAAATCTGTAATATCTTCGAAAATATTCATTCAAATTACATGCTGTAAAGGATCATATTGATCTATATTTAATGCACAATGTATTTAAGGTACTTCATTGGATAAGGATTAATGCTGTATTGCTTAAAATCGGTTCGTAAATAAGCCATTATTTAACGTATAAAGGTAAGAGATAAAATGGTTATTGTGGATTATCCCTAAGAGATAGACACATACCATCACGGACTTTTATGTAGACCTTTTAAGGTGTACAATACTGTAGTACAGTTACATCTAGCGACCTTTGCCCCTACTTATGGATCATACCACCGGCCATGACACTTCTAATTAGTATATAAGCTTATACATCTCATTAACAGTGACAGTGTACTTTAGAGCTGAAACCTGTTACTTGTTCATTTTGCCATCATTGTGTGTAGTAATTAAGAATTAAGTAAACAAAGTGTTTTTTAAAACTCCACTCGAACATCGTACGTTTTAACTGTACATTACTTTGATCTGTTTCGTAGAGTTCAGCCAGCGTTTGCAATGTAAAATTGTTGTGGATTGTACCTACTAGCTACGAAATTTATTCTTGGAACACTATAACTACAGGTTTTCCCGTGACGTAGTTACGTTCATTACCTTGCCGGCTACCTGAACTACCCCGTGCTACAACCAAACATACCTACAATAACAACTTTTATCTTCTATTTTTAATTCACTAATGTATTTATATTCTACTTTACTCTTGTTTTTTATTCCCGCTGTTTGGTTATAGTTTCCCACTTAATCCCTTTCTTTTTCTCTATTTTCTTTTTTTTTTGGCTTCATCTTATTACTTTCTTCGTGCAATCATCTTTTTTTTTATTTTTATTAATTTTTATCGTAGAACCACCGCTCTTCTTTCTAGCGCTATATTTTCATGCATGTCCTGTTCTTTCCTATAGTTAGTTTTTTTATTTTCCTTCGCGAAGTTAACGATAAAAGCGAATTCGTTTTTAGGTCAACCCAAGGCTACTTATTGCTGTTCGTAAGTGGCACTAAATCTCATTTGTTCGCAAATGATACGTTCGCAAATAGCACTAACTCAGAGTATTTATTTTGTATATATGTATTCAATTCCTGTCTTTATTTGATTTAAATACTTTTGTATACTTAGGGCGATACTTCGGCGCTAAAACGAAAGCAGTAGTACAGTATATGAAATACCTTTGTTAATTTTATTTTAATTTTATTGAATTAACGAAATATTGCTGTGATACATAATTCTCATTGTAGGTACATTTTCTTTTTCTTCTATACACTTTTATATTCGATATTTTAGTTTCATCTGGTGCTCCGATACGAATCTGCAAGACATTCGTAATATAAATTTATTTGCATTGTATTTTTCAATAAATTAGTTCCAATCACTTAAAAATATCGTTTTGCGTATTCTAACCGGAGCATCTTAACTCAGTGTAAGTATAATTTATGCAGGCTCTCCTCTCTCTCTCTGCTCGCCAATAAATTCTTATGTAACATAAACAATAAAGTTACTTTTGAAGGTTCAGGTGTCCTTCTTCTGCGAAAGAGCAGACATAGGGGAAAAAGTATGGATTGTAGTTGTATCGAGTTAATTAGTTTATTTTTTAATTTTATTCTTATAATTAAAATAGCGCATATATTTATTTTTGTACATAAATTATTTCGAAAGACCGCCGTTGTAGTACCGAAAGGTGGAGCAGCGGCAGTATGTAAATATTTCAATTAATAAATTGTATTGTCTCAGTTCCCATCGCATCGAGTAGTCGAACCGATCGGTTATGCGATGTCCGAGAGCCAGAGTAGTTCCACGCCTATAGAGTCGAGTGAATGCTAACGCGAGCGAGTACGCACGAATTCGGTCAGTAGTGTTGATTACGCGAGCGAGCGCGGTACCGCTATGGAAGTGACTAGTTGCACCGCAAAACGTATATTTTTTCATTTAATATTTTCATTGTATATATTTCTTCGCTCAATTAATTTTATTTATTTGGTTAGTTAAGTAGTTCCACGATAGTTTTACTTTTTACTTAGTTTGTAAATATTCCGTTTTTGTGCTAATGAATTAAATTTTTTAAAACCATTAAGAGTGTATTCATTAAAAAATGTGGTACAGTAGTACATAAGGAAAGGCAGTACAATCGACGTTTGCCTTTTCTACATCATTACCGTAAAAACTATATCAAACCGTTATGACCTAAAGTTGTTTCGTGAATATCATCCGCGTTTAAATCTTTGTTTATATTCTATCTATAGTAATTCGTGGCAACCGTTTTTTAATGTCCTTGACCGCGACATCGTCTTTCGCTTTAATTAGCAATGAATGTTTAACTTTTTTAACCTCTTCCTTCCCAGCGCAATGGACTACTAAAACACCTGATTTCGTTGCCCTGACATTTTTGACCGCGATATTATTTTTAATCCGGGTCTACTGAGCGCATAACAACTTTCCTAACATATTCTACGTCTAAAATAATTCGAAGTGGTCTGTATTCTGTCGAAACTGTCACACGCGGATCGCGATTTCGATCTTTTTGGATCCCATCAGCGCGTCGCAGGCAGCTCCGACAGAACATAGACCAACTTTTACCTGTTGTCTTAATAGTGCGTTTTAGAAAATATAACAAATTGCGTAGTAAACGCCATCTGTAGCACGATGCTACATTTTAGGATTACGTATGCTCTAACAAGGTCCACTTGTGTGGATATCTACTTGCTGAAAACGAATACCGGCGTAGCCAGCCTCAACGTGATAGGCACGTTAACTTAATCGAATAAAATAATTCGAAGTGGTCTGTATTCTGTCGAAACTGCCAGACGCGGATCGCGATTTCGATCTTTTTGGATCTCATCAGTGCGTCGCAAGCAGCTCCGACAGAACAGAACAGGCCACTTCGAATTATTTTATTAGATTAAGCTAACGTGCCTATCACGTTGAGGTTGACTACGCCGGGATTCGTTTTCAGCAAGTAGATATCCACACAAATGGACCTTGTTGGAGCATAGGTAATCCTAAAATGTAGCATCGTGCTATAGATGGCGTTTACTGCGCCATTTGTAGTATTTTCTAAAACGCACTGTTAAGACAGCAGGTAAAAGTTGGTCTGTGTTCTGTCGCAGCTGCCTGCGACGCGCTGATGGGATCCAAAAAGATCCAAATCGCGATCTGCGTCTGACAGTTTCGACAGAATACAGACCACTTCGAATTATTTTAGACGTAGAATATGTTAGGAAAGTTGTTATGCGCTCAGTAGACCCGGATTAAAAGTAATATCGCGGTCAAAAATGTCAGGGCAACGAAATCAGGTGTTTTAGTAGTCCATTGCGCTGGGAAGGAAGAGGTTAAAAAGGTTAAACATTCGTTGCTAATTAAAGCGAAAGACGATGTCGCGGTCAAGGACATTAAAAAACGGTTGCCACGAAGTACTATAGATAGAATATAAACAAAGATTTAAACGCGGACGATATTCACGAACCAACTTTAGGTCATAACGATTTGGTATAGTTTTTACGGTAATGATGTAGAAAAAGCAAACGTCGATTGTACTGCCTTTCCTTATGTACTACTGTACCACATTGTTTAATGAATACACTCTCAATGGTTTTAAAAAATTTAATTCATTAGCACAAAAACGGAATATTTACAAACTAAGTGAAAAGTAAAACTATCGTGGAACTACTTAACCAACCAAATAAATAAAATTAATTGAGCGAAGAAATATATACA